GCCCCCCCCCCCCCGCCTCCGCTCCCACCAGCCGCAGCCTTTGGGCCACCCCTGGTACCGCCGGGCAGCAGTGCAGGGCCGCTCCCGGGCATGCCATGTAAACCGGGTGCTGACGCAGCCAAAGTGTACGGTGGCTTCCAGCTGCTGCCGGCTTCTGATGGGCAATTTGCCTTCCTCATCCCCAGCACCGCCTTTGCTCCTGGTGGTGCTGTGCTGCCCCTGTATGGTGGCCCACCCACGGCTGCCACCGCTGCCTCGCCGCCCCGCCCGCCACCCGGCACAGCTGACTCGGTCTGGAGACCCTGGTAAGGGTGGCGGGCACCAGACTGGACTGAGCACCGCAGCCCGTGCTGCTGGCACGGATGTACATAGGTTATATGTTCATATTGGATTGTGCCTTTGTACCATAGCACTCCCTTGACAGTGTTTCGTGTTTTACACGAGATCTCTTTTCTCCCTTCCCTCCCCTTCCTTATGTGACACCAAAGATCGGGGTTTGGTTTTTTTTTTTGAATGCTCTTAAAATAAAAGTGTCCCTTCCATTTTGGAAGGCCTTTGGAGATAAATTGGAGTGCTGGCATGTGTGTATGGGAGGGAGCGCAGCTTGCTCCCTGCTTTTTGTGGATTGTGCTGCTCCAGGGCTGCCCTGTCCTGCTTTCCAGGATGGAGCTGTCACTCATACCCTCTGTCCCCTCTTCCTGCCCCACGACAGATGTAATTACTGCTTCTTGGGAGCAGCTCAACTGACCAGACTTGTTAAAAAGAGCTTACGTTTGCAGAGCTGGGGACTGCGCCGAGGGAGGCCCTCTTCTGCTTGGGCTGAGGGAGTGGAGTAGCCCAGGTAAAGCGTGACAGATTGAGCACAGAGTCTGACAGCCTGGCTCCCGGTTTGGGCTGCCTGGGTGAGCCTCCTGTCCTGGACCTGGAGGGGCCCGCTCCTGGGCCGTGGTGTAAATTGTGAATAACTCCAGTCAGTTGATTTAGAGAGCGGTGCCTGCCAGCTTCTCGCATTACAAAAACAGCGGCTCTCCGCAGGACAAGCCTGACACAAGCGCTGCTGTCTCCTGGCTGACAGGCTGCAGCAGGCACTGGGCACCACCTCCACCTGGACTTAAAAGCACAGAGCTGTTCCCAGCCCTGAGCACCAGCCAGGCTCTGCTGGATGATTAATGTTCTGCATGTGTTTCTGATAGAGTTGGGCATTTCCTCTGCTGTTATATGGAAAACATGTGTCTGGGGGAGTGATGTGGAGCTGTGCGGATTATCTCTCTGTATAACCATGAGTGGCAACTGACCCCTTTGAAATGGGGATGTGCCATTTCCAGGTGAGATGCGAGCTCTCGATACTGGTGAGCGGCAGTCTCTGGTTACAGCATGCATTGCTCTTCTTAAACAAGTCCTAACTCAGAGCGGACAGCTTTAAATCGTGCCAGGATCCACTGGGGATTCCTTCCAAATCCTGCTGCAAAAGCTTGTTGGATTTTGTCTGGATCAGCCAGGTGCTTGACTGTATCCAGGTGCAGGGAAATGAAAGCTGGGGAGAGTGCGAAACCAGACAGATTAAACCTGCTGGGGTTTGTATCCCCCTCAGCTTCCCCCCTTCTCCCTGTATACAAACATCCTCCTGATCTGAAAATGCTTGTTGGGATTAATTCGGGGTGGGGGGGGAGTGTCTAGGATCTCTCTCTGCAGGGTGTACTGATGAGGTCGGGGCCAGTGGCATCTCTTTTAAAAGGGGCTGCAGGTGCAGATCTCCCTGGGTGATGCAGCAGAGCTTGCTCTCCTCTCTCCCAACACCTTGCTGGCCTCTGTCATTGCCACCCTCATGGTGGTATCTTGCAGCCAGGTTTTGTGTGCCAGGCTTGGGGAGCACTGGATTTGCTGTCCCTAGGCAGGTGTGTAGCTGTGTGGGCTAAGCCTGCTGTCCATTCCACCAGCTGTAGTGTCACCTTTCTGCGCTGGAGGTGCTGAGGGCAGGACTGAGCCCACTGTGTTGTGTTCAGAGAAGTGCCCACAGGACCTGTCCATCTGGGAATCGCCTGGTACCAACTCCTGCTGCTGGACAGCCTGTGTGGAGCTGATGGAAGACCAGGAACACCTCACCTGTAAGAGCTGAGGCTGTTCCAGCTTGGCAGAGTTTTCCTTTTCTGATGAAGCTGTTGGTTTGGAAAGTGCATTAGAAAAAGACTGCTGTAGGCTAATGGAGAACACGTAGCAGATCCAGGAGCGAAAGACAAGATGAACCTATTTGCTAATGGAGTTTAAATAGCTTAGTATAAAGCAGATATGCCATGCTCGGACTAGTTTCTCCAAAGCTTTCTGTGTTTATTCTATCACACAGCCTGTTGATGCGAGAGATCTGCTTGAGTTTGTGAGCTTTGAGGGGATCAGAGCAATTCCCAGGAGCCATGCTCTTGATGTCAATTCACTGAGCCCGTGACAAATCGGGATGACAAATGCAGGCTGTGGGTCCATGGATCATTATGTGCAGGAGTTGCCCTTCAGGTGCAGCAAGTGCCTTCAAACTGGTGCTGTGGGATGAGCAGGCAAGGGTGAGGGAGGGATGGGGAGTGCCAGGGAAGGGACGGGGCTGGGCTGCCGGATGGTGGCCTCTCCTTTGGCTGTGACCCTGCATGGGGCTGTGCAGGGCGGGTAGGAAAAGGGACTGGACTTGGTGCTGCTGGGTGGGATGCAGTTCCTGTTGGCTTCCCTGGACACCCTGGGCAGCCCTGCCCACCAGCAGAGAGGACCCCGGGGAGGGCTGGAGTCAGGTCTGCTCCTCTCAGATTATCACTCTTGGCTTTATAAAGCAGTTGGATGCAATCCCGTGCGTTCATTTGCAGCCTGGAGAGCGCTGAGCTGGAGGGAGCGGCAGTCCAGCCCTGCCTGCAGTGCACCTGCATGGGGGTCTGTGGGCAGGGGGCTTTGCCTGCCTCCCCCGGCACCCTGCCGTGCCCCCCACCCACACGGGGCTTACATCCCCCTCTGGCCCTCGCATCCCTGCAGCTCCCTTCCATCGGCTGCTGCCGTCCCGGGAAACCTGTCATTAAAGTCAATTAACTTTTCCCACACTCCTCGGGAGCGGTGCAAAAACCCCTCCTCGCTTCCTCCTTGGCTCTT